TTTCTTCCCAAGCAGCGCAACCGGGCAGGCCCTCACTGAGCTATTTTCACTCAGCAAAAATGGTCCCTTAAACTTAAGCAGAGACTCCCAAACTGGAATCCCCTAAGGGCAATGACAGAGATGCACCAACTATTTTCTGTATTTCAAAAGCCACCCTAAAAATGGGCATTTAGCCCTGATGCAGCTGAAAAGACTAACTAAAATACAATGTTTCATTGATTTAGACTAGAATTACATCCGCTCTGTGGTAATGCTGGTTATTTCAACCTGATTAGAAACCCTAACTCACAGTTCTTTATGTCTTTGATGAGTAAAAGTGGGAAATCTAAATAAATATGGCCCAACAAAACCTGAATTTCATAGGAGAAAATCATTAAAGAATGTCCTTGGTGATGAAATGCCTGAAAGTCACTGAGCTGAAAGGAAACAGCACCAATCATAGAATATCAAGCCCAAGACAATGTGCCTGAGGGTCTGGGGAGAAGGGACCTTGTGTCGGAGACATCTGGGTGCCTGCCCTACCTACATCTTCTTTTCAGGGAACACAGTCCTGTCCAGAGCCCTGGGGAGTGGACATAGCCACATCTGCCACCATGTGCTCTTTGACCCTGGCAAGAGCTGATTGGATGTACTGGATTTGCTCATCTAAAAGATGTTAGGCAATATGCAACCCGTGTGGCTGGATCAAAATAATGAGTTGGGTCCATTATGTTTCTCTTGGAAATTTGGAAATCTGGAATTAGAGAGATGGAGGCAGTTTCCAGCAGAGGCAGAAGTCAGGAGGACATGTAAAAAGTTTCTCCTAAATAGAGGGTCCTGGAAGTTGCAGTGGGCTGCACAGTGGGCTGAATTTATGTGGGAATGGAGGTCGTCTACAGACAGGAGAATGGAGCAGACATGGAAAGGAGGAAATACTTCATGGGGAGTGGCTATGGGGGGGGGGCATGGGTCCAGTTCTAATTTCCCGAGACCCTGCTGAACCTCACAGTTCCTGTCTTTGAGTTTTCTGAAATTCCCAGTACACTCTTAAAACAAACCCTGCTTTGCTTGAGCTAGCTTAAGTGGTCTCTCTTCCCAACACACAAATGAGCCTGATTAGACCAGACCATCCAAGCCTTTGGAGAAACCCCTTGAAAATCACATCACACGTACGGGCCAGCCACCAAAGGAAAAAAATAAAACCACATCACAGAGCCATGCTCTGTCAAAGAGAAAAGTCCTAAGACACAAACCTACCTGGAATCTTGATAAATCTAAAAAGATGTATATTTCATGCTCTGTGGAGTAGAGAGCTCTTTGAGAGAAACAGCCATGGAATTTCCTGGGAAATGCTACCTGGGAGGGGATAAAAGGGCCCTAGATGTCCTCTAGAGGGATGCCAAGCCAATGAGTCAACACCATCCTGCTGGCTGGATTATTTCCCTCTACTCTCTCCTCACTGTGATAGACTGAGATGCATCCACGTTCTCATCACATCTCACCATGAGCCGTGACTGATTCCCCTCCCCTAGACTGTGGGCTTGCCCAGGTCACTTGCATGTGACTCCCAAATGCACGAGGGAGAAATGACAGCTTGTGAACTTGAACTCTAAGTCTACCACTTATTGTATCTCTGCCTTGCCATGAGAGGAACAGGCTCATGTCAGCCATTTGGTTCCAGCAAGATGAGAGACCAAACCAACCTCTACCTGGAGCCAAGACCAGTGGAGCCCACATGAGATCAGCAGCACCACCCCAACCCCGGTGCACACACATGAAAAATAAATCTTCTTGTTGCACATGGCTGGAATGTGCTGTTTGTTACATAGCACCTTTGAGGAAGTAGCTAAATGATAAGGTTCTTTTAGAAAGATTCATTAGATGTTCCTGAATGGAGAAATCAGTGAAGGGGGTGAGTTACAGTGATAAGGGGGTATAGCACCCCCATTGAGTGTAAGGGGTGCTGTCTGTCGTGGTCGCAAGAGATCCTCTAAGGGATGTAGAACTTTGGGGCAGAGGAGCTGGGCTAGAGTCTAGTTGCTTCTCCTCGTGAAGTGATTTCTCTACTGATCAATCTTGTACAGCCTAGTTCAATTTTATTAAAACTTGTAAGAATTTCTAAGTGCTTGAGACACACTAGGCTGGTTCTGGCAGAGTTTCTCAGCTGTCCATCAAACTCCATTGCTCCATCTTCCACAGTGATACAATCAGGGCCAGGCACGTAACTGACTCCGAAGATGACAACTCCAACCCTGGTTGACTTTTTACCAATGAAATATGAGCAGAAGAGGTAAGTGCTACATTTGGGCTGGCACGTTAAGATAGTGGGCATGCCTCTTCCACTTTCTCCTTCCGGCTAGCTGCAACCCAGGCCATGCAGACAGAAACAGTGCTGTAGGACAGTGCTAATCATATATGGTCCATAGATCAGCTGCTCATCCCCAAACTATTTGTTACCCATCCACAATAAGATAAAGAATTTGTGCCAGAATGCAAATCAATGACATCACTAAACATAGATCAGCTGACATTTTCTTCCATAGCAAGACATTCTCAATGAAGGAAGTGTGCATTGATTTACATTCTGATGCAAGCTCCTTAACCCTGTAGGCCAGTCCTTGGAGTTGCACTGCATTGGGGAATGGTAGATGCACTAGTTGGAATGAACCTGGGTTCCTGAATATCCGTGTGGAACAGAGCTGCCTGCCAACCTGGAACAGCTGCCCTGGACAAAAAAGAAACACGCTTCCTTTTCGAGTGGGTCATTGCATTGTGAGATCTCTTCCTCATAGCAGGTTAGCTTTCCTCTGAACAAGTCAGTGGGGTTAATCATCTCTACCTAGCAGGCTGTGGTGAGCATTTTAAAAGGTATATGAGAGGACACCCAGCCAGGATCTATTGGGGCTCATTCATACCAGATGAATTAAACATGCAATGGCTCCATTCTCTAGCAGGAAACAATTCATTGTCTTTTCTGATCAGGGGACTGGACTCAGCCTCCTACACCTGCAGGACAATGCATCCATTCACAACTATAGAGTCCCTTCTCTGTGCCTAGGACTGGGCCAGCCACTGGGGAAGCAGCCCTGAACAACAGTTGCTGTCCTTATAGGGTGTCAGAGTATGTCAAATGGCCCAGCCCTAGTCTGCGGGCAGAAAGCTTGTGGATTGGGGTACTTAGAGCAAGACCTGAGGTTAATGGAGGGGCCCCAGTACCTCCTGGCCTGCCATGGACACAAGAAACAGCGGGTTGCCTGAATTAACAAGAGTTGTGCTTTCTGTAGAGCTCATCCCAGGCTTGAATATCTCTACATTTGGTTTCCCATAGTTTCATAGAGGGAAAACTACATTTAGAAGATTCTGAATATAATCTTCATCAGACTAAGGAGAAAGGACATTTTTCTACAACTTGATCTGGAGAGATAAGGGTTTAATGCTCCTCCAAAGAGGTTGTAAAAGGCTTTTAGACCTGAGCATTTCTTAGATTAGTTGTTCATTCATCAAATACTTAATGAGCACCACTATGATACAGGTGGTCTGCAGGCACACAGAGGAGCAAGACCAGGTCCCTGTGCTCCAGCAACCTCACTGAGAGGCAGGTGGCAAGCCTTTGGGTGGTCAGTTACCTGTCAATAGAACACCTGCTTACTGAGGGTGCCTGGGGATTGAATGCAGAGGCGGGGAACCCAGGAGGAATGGAGTCCAGGCCAATTGTAGACTTTTTTCTTTTGATTTCCACTTGAATCACTCCCTTGGGATAGTATTATTGTATTTCCTTGGCTCCCATTAATGATCTTAAAATTAGCATTTTCCCCCTAGAGCCAGACATATGCACAGAAATACTCTTCCAAGAATACTGTCATGCAATCTGTGTGTGTAATTTCCTAAGAATGGCATAAATATATTGAATCACCAGATATTCAGACAAAAGTGTACATTGATTTTATCAGTATCAACACGGTGTTGACATGGAACGCTAGGCTCACCAAGGAAGCAGTTCACCAGCATTTGGTGAGGGAAAGACCTCTCCTATTCCAAACACAGCCACACGACCAGCTCTGCAGCCAAAACGTGGGCAACAGCATCCTACCAGCTTCTATTTATTGTCGCATTGCTATGGTGCCTGTCCCCTTTGTATCCATGGCATTTAGAACCTTGGGAATTGGGCTGGTGACCATTTTTTAGATCTGAAAACAGAGGAGAAGAGGAAAGTTGAGCAACTCTAGGGAGGTGTGTACGCAGCAGTTTAGGGACAGTTTGAGCTTTCTGGGGATGTAGCCTCGGGGCGGCGGCATAAAAGCAGCTCCCTCGTCTTTTACACAGAAGCAGTGTGCTTGTGAAAGGGGCCATGTGTAGAATCAAACTTAGCTCTGTTCACAGAGCATGTCTTTAGCTCCATCCTCCATCTCGCCGTACAAGTGGGCAGGGGCACCTCGGAAAAGCAGGGTGGGGTGAGGGCACTGCTGCTGGTGGAGAAGACAAGGGTGAGGTGGAGGAGAGATTTGCAGGAAGGAGGCAGGGTCCGAAGTCTATGGGCTGGGACTGCGAGGAGGTGGTCCATGGAGCGAAAGGACTGGGGATGGATCAGAAGTCCGTCGCATTCACGGTTCCAACGCTCTCCAGAGAAGCCCAGCCCCAAAGCATCCATCCTTCGTGCTCGCCCCTCTCCACCCCCTGAGATCAGGCCACGGGGTCGCCGCTGCCCCTTGGGGGATCGGAAAGCACCTAACGCAGGAGGCGCCCGGGTGAGGCTGGAGAGGCAGGAGTTCACTAAATCGTGCTGGAGCGAAGGCGTCGAGGCTGGGAGGAATTGATGCGATGTGGGAAAGGGAGAGGGGGCCGCGTACACTCAGCCTTTCCATCACTCGCGGGCAGATGGATGGTTTTCCGGGCCGGGCGTCCCAGCGCCCCGGCTAGCTATAGGGAGACGTCAGAGCGTTCGGGTCCGCGGTCGACGAGCCCCCAGCCCCCCCGCCTGGGCTTGCATATAAAGTCCGTGCCTTTGTGGAGGCTGCAGCAGTGGTGCTGGCGGCCGCGACCGAGCTCCTCCGAGGTCCTGGTCCTCCCGTCGCTGCTCCACCGGGAGAGCGCACCGCCTGCCCAGCCTCGCCCAGCCTCGCCGCGGCGCTCCTGGGGCTTCCCGCGGGACCATGCGCGGCCTGGAACTCTGGCTAGTCCTGCTGGCGCTGGTCCTCTGCCAGGCCCCCCGGGGGCCAGCGACGCCGGTGCCGGCGGGCGGAGGGACCGTCCTGGCCAAGATGTACCCGCGCGGCAACCACTGGGCTGTGGGTGAGTGTCCGGCCCGCGGGAGCCGCACGCCCTTGACCTTGGCGGTATCCGCCAGCCGGAGGGGACCTGTCTCCCCATCTCTCAGCGTTTCCGGGGACTAGCTTTCGGGGTTGGGTTTGCTCCGACCCTTCTACCGAAACACCTAGGCCGTTCTCCTAAAACTCCACCCCACCTTCCCCATCCTGGGAAGCCCATCGGCCCCTCACCAGCCTCTGTCCTTTCCCGCTGGCTTTCAGTCTGTGTCCACACCGCAAACCCCACTTCCCCAGGGCACACCAGCCCGCGCACAGCTCTCCAAAAAACCCCAACCCTATGTGAAGATCTCCTTCCCTCCGCACCTGCCCAACGCCTCCTTTTTCACCTAATCTCAACCCTGTCTGGCACTGTTCTCTCCTTGAACAACTTTGGGGAGCGGGGTCCTCCGGGTGCGTCTCGGAACCCTGGCCCAGCCCGGCGGCCTTGACTCCGACCGTCGTGGGCTGGAATCCAGGCTGCGCCTTTGCGCCCGGCAAAGCCACAGGTGTGGGGACCTGGCGCGCAGCGCTCCCGCCCTGGGTTTCAAATCTGTTTAGAGAGCAGTGCCTGAATCCTGCCTCTTTCTGCTCTTCTGATTTTTCTCAGACCTTCCCTTCCCTTTGCAGCGATATTCTTTTCCCTGCCCTTTTGCCCATCCCTCCCTCTTTCCAGCCAGTAGACTCGGAGCTCTGGGAGTCGCGCCTGCTCTCCAAGCTCATCCCGGCTTCTCTGACCCCTGAGCTGCTGCTCTTTCTCCTCCTCTCTAGACTCACGACTTCACCCTCTGCCCTACCTCCTTTCCCATTCCATCTGCCAAGTCCGGCTCTCCCGGCACGGGCTTGGAGGTTCCCTCGTCCCGGTACTCGGAACCGGACCGCCACGCGGCGGGTGGGGAGGGCGCCCGCTTTCGCGCAGCTGGGACGCAAGTAGCAGCCGGCCAGCCTCGCGCTCACCCAACATCTCCCCGGGCTCTCCGCCTCTCTAAGCATAGCCTCCGTCAAATGCAAAGAGTCTAACTTTCTCAGAACCAGCACCCCCGTCCCCCAAATCCAACTACCACAACCCCATCATTTCCTGGGAAGCTGGTAAGATCTCTAACGAGATTTAAGGTAGGGGTGTGTGTGTGTGTGTGTGTGTGTGTTACTATTTCCTTAATCATCTACTTAGGAGCGAGGAACAGTGTATTAGAAAGGTACTAGCTAATTCAAATATCAATCAATATACAGAATCTCAGTGCAGAGACGAGGAAGAATGGTGAGGAAAGAGTGAGGCTGGAACCGTAGCGCCCTCAGCTCCTCCGTGTGGCGTGTGCTTTTGTCTGAGAGGTGAGAGCTCGGGTTGCAATACAGTAGTTTTCGTTGTCGCTAAAAGAATCATTTTCCAAGTCTTGACAGTCCGGGGATGAGAAGATTTGTGATCGCTGAGGGACCCGAGGAACCCAGGAGTCTGGTGTGGAGAGGAGAGGTTGGCATGGGGGAAGCCAAGAAACCCTGCATTTTAAGAATGAAGGGTACTTAGATGGTGTTGAAAAATCCAAACTCAGAATTGATACTTTTAAAAAAGAGTTTCTGGGAGCTAAAATCAAGTGGCCATTGTCTGGTCCAGCCACTGGCTGGAAAGGTAGAATGAAACTTCCAGATTCCCAGCCTCTTTCTGCTCATCTATATTTTTGTGCTTAAAAGGCTTATCATTAGGTAACCCTTGTAGGCCAAAAGGAGGACGACAGAGTTAGCTGGGAAGCCAGCATCGTATTATTTCTAGTGCAAGCTAAGACAGCGCTGATTTGCTGGAGCACGTATGTCCCCAGGTATTTAGGGTGTCTGGAATTTAATGACCCTTCATGGTGGTATTTGGGCATTCTGAACTCAAAAGTATATCAGCTAGTGGCAACCCCAAATATGATTTTCTTATTTATTCTCAGATGAACTCTTTTTCCTTTTTCTCCCTTTACTGACTGTGCAGAGTTGGGGAAGAGCAAGGGAAAGAGGTAGGAGAAGCGGAAAATCACATCTGGGCCTAACATTGCTTTGTGGTTGAGGAGAAGTTTGCTTTGGGTAGACATGCCCTCTGTTGGAACAGGAGCATTGACAAGGGGAATGACGTTGTTAGATTTTAAATTTAGCTTTCAGTCATCCCAAGCAAACGTCTACCCCCCAATCACCAAAGTCGCGAGGTTTAGTTTTAATCACATCAAACGAAACCTGCATATCACCGTCCATGCGGAAGCTGTCAGCACACATCTGCAAATGTGTGAAGTGAATTGCTTCTTGTGGCTGAGCGAAGCGGCAACGGAAGATAAGTCAACAGCTTGAAAGCTTCACAGGTTCTTATCTGGCTTGATGTTCATGGATATGTTTTGTGTGTGTCATGAAAACACTGTATATGTCAATACTGACACTGGTGACTATTCCCTGTACTCCCACAAAATGTTAGCTGTGACTCTAATTTTGATGTGAGGCATGTCCCAGGAGATTGAATTTGGAACCACCAGTATTCAGCTACAGATTGGCTTGACCTTGTAGTGCTGCCCTAGAAACGGTGAAATATAGTTTTCAGTGAGGCTCCAGAAAAACTAGTTCTTGGAAGTACTCAACATTTAAATCTATATCTCAGTGTATATTTTCCTAAATCAGGGTAATTTTCAAATTTTGACTTCAAAAAATATTTATTTATCTTTCAAACCTGCCATTTAGTGGTTTCTTTAAGTAATTAAAAAGGACAAAAGCATTTTTTCTCTGAGTCAGGTTTTATTTTTTCAAATGCCTGTCTTTTGTTTATGCTGAGATCTCTGTTATCATGATATGGACACATGACCTGTGATGTGAGGAGAAGAGGAAGTGGGCATAGCATCCATGTTGTCATGGAGACAATAACTTGGTTGACAGTAGCCAGCTCAAAAGTGAAAAGGGACCCTGGGTATGCGTGATCCCCTGGGATGTTTTAGGACGGCATGCTTTCCTCAATAACTAGTCTGTGGATCTAGGGGTGGGAAGCTGAATACCACACACACCCGATATATGCAAGTATTAAAATGCAGTACAATATCACAAGGATCAATGTTAAATCAATCATAGAATGAAGGATGATGTTATCTTCCCATTTTAGAAAAGTCCACAAAATTATTCAGGCAAGACCAAAATGAAGTTCTTATTTGTAAAAATATCTCCATTACCTCTCTGCTTCATTGGCAATAAAATAACTCATTTCTTATTTCCAGAATAATAAGAGATGATAGGCAATTAGGAAGTGCAACAGTGACCAAGGTCATTACTGGGAACATCAGGGTTCTAATCCTGCCTTCCAATCATCATGATTCAATTTCCTCCATGTAAATAAAGCCAAATACATCACTACTTCCTAGGAAGTTGTGCAACATAATCACTGTTATGGCTGAGAGCAAGGTTATTTAGCGGATTTTTGGGCACCGAGTTGGCCAAGCAGATAAGCAAGGAGCCATTCATTCAGAATTCTATTCCTTCCATTGGAACAGTATCCTCAACAGGGTCTTGAAATTGTTTCATGATATTGTGTCATGTTATAGGCAACCTCAGAAGTGCTCACACTGCGATGCAGTAAAACCTCACTTTAAGACTCCCCAATGCTCACAGAATTAATTTTTCTGAGTCACATAATGAGTCACAATATACTGATATATAGTCAGTCTCTTTTTATAACATTAGAAAGCCTGTAGTAGATTTTATCCTTATTTCCAGACCCTACAATGATTTTTAGCTACCTTATGCTCTTAGGAAGTTAAAAGACACTTCAAAGCAGAATAATAAGTCTATACTGTGAGCTGATTTTAGTCCTAAGATCTTTGCTTATATCTGTGTGACCTCTGCCAAGCCTCATTTTCTCCAAACCTATTATGGGGTGGATCAAATGCAATAGTCCACATTTTAAAACTGTGTAAACTGTAAATTGCAATACACATGAAAGAAATACAGTTACAGCAAGGGCCGTTCTGTTTGTGGATAGAACTGCTGGGAAGAGGCCTCTTTCAATTTGAAGTGACTAAATTCCCATGATGATCGCTTTAAATACTTCTAATGCCAGTCAACGCTGGAACCACAAAGACCTTTTTCCTTGTGTGCTTTAAATTGAAAGCACCATAGTTCTATTGATGTTAGAAGTTCCAAAGTTGCTATAAAGCCCAATTACAGAAAGCTGGTGAAAATCAATTCCAGAATGTAAATAAGATCACAAGAGTATATTTAAGCAATGGGCTAGCATGTTAAGAAAGCAGATCTTGAATTCTATATCCACTTCTGACCCTATGTTATCCTCACTTGTATGCATGAATTACCTTGCTTTTGTGGTTTGGCCTCCTTAACAGCAGTTTTATTTATTTATATGACAGGCACCATCCCTGAGCCATTGATAGACTTTCACTGACCATTTCAAACATCCAAGAGAAAATACTGCATTTATGTGGCTGGGGAGTGTTGATCAGAACATGTTTTTGACTTGTTTTTCATTACACTCTTAACAAAACGTAATATCTAGGTGATGTTTTCTAGATTCAATCTCAGCTAAAATTCTGAGAAAGTTTAAATGAAAAATTCTTCTGGTACATTTGTGTTACACGTAAGAGGAAAGCAACACTTTTTTTTTTTTTTTTAATCACACAAAGAAAAGGACCAAGACTTTTATTTTCAGCAGCAATTCAAAATTGGCTGAAGATGTTTAAACTCCATCTTTCAGCTGGGAATAGAATTTTGTGCACATAGAATTGATAGTAGAACTTTAGATATGGTAGGTTTCTTAGATTTAATCTAGTCGTCCCTATTCATTTTATAGTCAAGAAAAACAAAGCCCGGGGCTGCTAAATGCCTTGGCAGAGGTTGCCAAGCTAGTTAGTAGAGGTGCTGGAACCATACCCAGGGCTGCTGGGTTGCAGTTCTGAATTCTGTCCAGCTCATTGCACATTTTGAACAGGGAGCAAAGTCTGTCTGTCATTTATGAACTAACTCCAAATAATAAAATGCTATTTATTCTGCATTTGGGAAGAAGAAGCACAAACATAGTTGGTGTCCTTTGTAATTTCTAGTTCATTCATTCCCCTTGGTTAAATTTGTGGCATTCTGTTTTGTTCATTTTTGTTTTGTTTACAGGACACTTAATGGGAAAAAAGAGCACAGGAGAGTTCCCATATGTTTATGAGGGTGGGAGCCTGAAGCAGCAGCTAAGGGGATACATTCAATGGGAAGAAGCCGCAAAGCATTTGCTGGGTCTCATAGAAGCAAAGAGGAACAGAAGCTGGCAGTCACCTCATCTCCATCCCCTGGGCGAGCGCCAGTCTACTTGGGATTCAGAGGACAGCAGCAACTTTAAAGATGTAGGTTCAAAATGCAAGGGTAAAGCAAACATACTTGAGAGGTGGGGTGGGAGGTGTTTGGGGAGAGTTGAAAGGAGGGGACGTTTAACCAGAGAAGAATAAAATTGTTTATGATATAAGCCTTCACAGCCTCTGCATCAGGCTAACAGCAGTATATGCTCAGCAAATTGGTAGACAATTTTCATGCTATTTTTTCTTTTTGATGTAAGTTTATTTTTCCTCTTAGCACATCAAAAGGGCATTGGTTCCAACCTCCAATATATGAGTTTTACTAGCAATCATGTTTATTCAAAATTACCCATTAGTAGGATTTTTTTTTGTACTGCCAGGCCCTACCGGAATGTTCTGATAGTGAGGCCATAGACTATTTGACTAAATCCCTGAGGGTCTACAGATATCTTTATTTTTGATGAACACTAGTGGAAGGAAAAGCCTATTTGTAGACAATTTCAGGAGAGAATGTTCTTGTTTGCTACTTCATACAAAGTAGTATTTCTTTGTATTTGTTCCAAGATTACCTAGTTCAGGTTTCATCCTAATAACTCAAAACTTGATGACCATATCCGAGGTCAACTGATTTGTCTTGTATATAACTTTATTGAGGATAGGAAAAAATAATTATACCAAGCTGGCAATGTTTAGATACAAAGACAGTAAACAGGATAAAAGAGAGAATAAAATTTATAGGAAGAAAGCTAGCAACTGGTAATGAAATGATTATTACTAACTTTTAAGACATTTCGTTGAAGTTTATAATAAAAGCCAAAAATAATAATTTCAATAACAATAATAATAACAGCTAGTTTGGGGCCAGCCCGTGGCTCACTTGGGAGAGCGTGGTGCTGACAACACCAAGTCAAGGGTTAAGATCCCCTGACTGTTTTAAAAAAAAAAAAAAAAAAGATCCCCTGACTGGTCATTTTTTTTTTTTTTTTTGTCTTTTTCCGTGTCCGGCAACGGATCGCAACCCTCAGTGTTGCCCCTGTACCAGACCGGGTACCGGCAACGGGATTGCAACCCTCGTCGTCGCTCCCGTGCCTCGCTCAGCCAGTGAGCGGGAACCGGTCTGTATGTGGGATCCGAACCCTCGGGCGGGAGCACCGCTGCGCTTCCCAAGCGGCGCACTATCCAGTGCGCCACCGGGCCGGCCCCTGACTGGTCATCTTTAAAAAAAAAAAATGATAATAATTTTAAAAAATAGTGGATAGATTTATTGAACATTTCTTATAACAGTGAGCTATGCAGTTTACCTCCATTTTCTTGGCTTATGCTCACAGGAGGAAGGTTCTATTATCTCTTTATTTTAGAGGTGAGGAAGCTGAGACTAGTCACAGAGATTTTCATTGGGGAAACTAGGACAAGAGCCTGTGCTCAGTCTGCCTCCAACAGTCTGTGCCATGCAAGACGACTTCCAGAAAATGGTCCTCAGTGATCATAAATATGAAGGATGCAGGATGCAGTAGCAGGCCTTGCTTCTCACTGTTTCTGACAATAAAATTGCTTTTCACTCACAGAGCTTGGACACTTCGCTCCTTCACTCTTTCATGGTGGTTAACTCTTTGACAGATCCCTTTGCAGAGGCTCAGGGCTGACTTTGACAAGGCTCAGCTGGCTTCTCTGGAGGAAGGCTTTATGTTTCACTGCCCTTTGGTCCACTGTGGATTTTACACGCTAAATGCAACCTACAAATTCATTTGTCGCACTAAGTCCCTAGAGAAAAAGTCTTTAGTAGCTTTTATTCAGAAAGAAAATCTGGACTAAACCAACCAATACGGGGGGGGGGGGAAAGGAAGGAATTGGAAAAGGGCCCCAAAAACTATTATATTGTATAATGTCGAATATACTAATTATCTGATTCGAGCA